AGAGAGAAGAAGAAGAGAGAGAGAGAGAGAGAGAGAGAGAGAGGTTACCCGTGTCACGCGCGAATGTAACGTACGTGGAGAAGTCGCGGGAGGGCAAAAGGTGTCGCGGTACGTAGGTATCGAGCGTATCATGTATTATTAATGCGGATGTCGTCAACCTGATTCTTTTCCGTCCCTCTTTTTTCTTTCTTTCCCTGTCCCCTCTCTCTCCTTCCGCTTAACCCGCGCACAGAGAATCTAAATGCAGAGCGTAACAACTCGCGTACGAAGCTCGCGTTACGCGCGCGGACGAAAATTCATCTCGCCGTGCACGATTCTGTGTGGATTCGCGGGCACCACAGTCGATAGTCGAAAGTCAGCGCAATAATTACAAGTCTGGTGGATTATGCACGGTCGACCGAATGCGGAAGACTTGGTCGAGGCTTCGAGAAACCGAGTATAAACCAGAAAGGGACGCCGCCTTCTTCCATTAATCTCGCGGCAATCGAAATTAGCATAATTGACGGAGCGGAGAATAGCGGCCTGTTCGACTCTGAAACGCCATCTCGTATAATCTGTCCATATATCTCACTCAGTGTTTTCCGATAAAGCACGCATCCGCGAGAGCGGACCAATCGATCCGTGGACAATCGTCCACGACGTTCAACGATTATTCGATTAAGTCGGTTTCAGAATAGTTCGTTTCTCTTAAACGTTAAAACAACTCGATATTTACGATAAGGCGTAATATCGAGGCGATGTCTTTCGAAAATATATATAGAGATCGAAATCAAAGTCGGACATCGCTTTTTACCATCTATTATCTATCTCGAATCCCCTTCCACTCCCGATTTATCCTCCTCGCGTTTCTCTTCCTCCCTTATCCACCGACTCGCATCTTCTCGAGCAAGACGTATCGACACGGATTTTTTTCCGCGTCAGTCATTTATCAAAGCCGTTCGTTCGTTCTCTCTCCTCCGCCTCTTTCATTCGATACACGCGAACTTAGTGGAGGATTTAGGCAAAGAGACGGGAAAGAAGGATGGGGAGGGAAGGAAGGAGGAGAGGGAAAAAGGAGCAAGCGTTCCTTCCTCCCTCTTTCTTCCTTTTTCCCCTCTACGGAAAAACGTTCCTTTCGCGGAAGATGAGAAAATCCTCGAATCTTACGTAAGAGAGTAGTGGTAATAGCAGTGGTGATGGTGGTGGTGGTGGTGGTGGTGGTGGTGGTAGTACGGTGCTGATAGAACACTTTGAAAGAAAAGGTGAAAGAGGTCGCGAGCAAGAGGTGGTCTCTATCTATCATTGCCTCGCGGGTTTCGCATCCATCTTCCTTTTCCACCTCGATCCGCCTCGTCCTACTGCCCCCGAGCCTCTTGCATATCCTATCCTAACAGCCATACTGCGCCGTTATTCTCTCCATTTCCCGTCTTTTCTCATCCCGATAATCTATCGAGAAGAATAGAATTGGAACAACGTCGCGAACCATTGCTCCTCTTCCTATTTCTATTCGCACCGAAATAAAGAAGACGTTAACGTTATTTGCCAATTAACTCCTGGCTGCGCAGCGAAAAAAGAGAGATAAAGAAATTTGAAATTGTGCGATTATTACTCAGGATAAAGGGAAATTGTTTAGTTCTACACCTTGGCCTAACGAGGAAACCTAATCCAACATCTCGAGAGGGTCCAAGTTATGTTTAGGGTCCAAGCGTATGCAAATAGGTGGATACCGAGAGCGGCCGAGAGTGCAAATAAGTGGCAAACGGGAGATAAGCCCGAATCCCTGTAATAATCGATTGGAAGAAACTCGTTCCCAGTTTAATTTATCAATTATTATTCCCTCGGCGGGAGGAGAAAGGGAAGCGAAGAAAAATAACGGCGACACGCTCGCGCGATACGAAACGAGAATGCACGGTGGGAACGATGAACGAGGGCGGCTTTTGATCGAGCGAATAATACAATGTTTGCTCTTCCAAAAAGAAAACAACTACGGTTCTTAATCGCGCTTTTTACGAAAGAACGAGATTTGAAGATTGTCATCGTCCAGCCTGACAATCACCTGACAATCGGGTAAATATTTGTAATACGCGATAACGGGCGCGTGAACGGATTATTGCCTGGTTCACAACTTGGATTGGACAAATTTGATTCGAATCGAAATCCGTTATCTTCACATGCGATTAAGATTAATCTTAAGTTCTTTGTAAAGATAAGAATAAGATTTTGTTACGGTTCAGATGTATTACGAAATTTTAATAATCCTATATAATACGATATAATTTTAAAGTATAATTTAACGATGATGAAATATGATGCACGATCATTTTATATTTTTGCATGCCGAATTTATGTCGAATTTTGAAAAAAAATTTTTTTTATTATTATTATTAAACGCGCATCTAAAAAAATTCATTAACATGAATATCAAATTATCAATGTGCTAAATTATTATTAATGTACTAGATAAACTTTCTATTTATATTTCGATTCGAAAAAAACATATATGTATGTTGAGGTTTATAAAATGTTAAGACTTTCGTTATTTCTATCTTCATTCGTTTTATAATGCTGACGTTTTCATTTCTTTTGTATTCTTCGTTCTTTTTTTTTTTTTTTTACTAATTTATCTTAATTACAAAATCGTTATAAATATCACCACACTATGTATAAATATATATCCGGTACATATGGATTATCAAAAATGAAGGATTTTTTGACTCGAACGAAAGAAAATTAATAAAAATGATGAATAGAAAGTTTTTTCTAAATAAATTTCTAAATTTGCTCCTAATATTTCGCGTGCTAATCTAAACGATCGAAATTGCATCTTCTAATTATTATAGAAAGTGTAATATATTATAATGGAAATTGTTAAAACGGAAATAACGTTAAATATTATTATTATTATCATTGTTATAAAAGTTTCTAAAGTTTTTCTTGTTCCTAAGGTAATTCGATTCGACGAGAATTTATATATAAAATTTAATAAAAAATTTTTATCTGAAAATTATTCAAAACATCAATTCAGCTCGAAAAATTTATTCGAAATTTTTCCATCCAAACAATTCCATCCAATTCCACGTGTTTCGTTAAACCGTACACGAATCGAGCTTGTTTAGAGATTCGTGAGTGTTCGGTAAAAATCGGACGATACCGTGCTTAGACGGCTACGAAAAACCGGCTACGACTACTCTCCCCTTTCGTCTTGGAACCAGCTTATTTCGCCCAATGCGAAAGGGACGCGAATCTTTCCTATCAAATTTCGCCATATTATGCACGCGTTCGCCCTTGCTTCACGTGCGTCGAAATGATAAAATTCAACGTTTGTTTTCGATAAGAAGAAATATCAGCAAAGGTGCGAGTGATAAACATTTTTAGAAAAATGTTCACGGAAGTGAATCGAATCCATCCAACAATCTCGTATAGATGCGTGTAAAAATCGAACGATAAAACTGTCGATATAAAATAATTGTTCGAAACAAGGAAACGGATGTGTTCCTAAAAAACATTCGAAAGGTGTTGGTGAAAGAGGTCGTTGAACTTTAAAACGTGACCATTGTGGTGCGCGCTCTAGCCCCGGTCTTTCGATAGCAAAGCGGACGAAGAATTCGGATATTGAGGTAAGTACGGATGAAGGAGGGGGAGGGGAGAGTCGAGAACAAGAGAAAGAAGAAAGGAGAAAAACGGATGGGAAGCGGAGTGGAGGAAAAGAGAAGAGGAAGAAAAAAATAAAGTTGAGAAGTTGGTGGGAATAGTGTGAGGAAAGTTATTTGTACGAGTCACCGAATATAAATACCAAAGTCGGGTTGAAAAGTGAGCAGTAGAAGAGTCGATAGTGCATCGAGTCGATTCATATCTTGACTCGTGCGCTGAAATTATATTTTTTCATTCCAACGCATCCTTACTCGCTCGACTTTCCTCGATTTAGCATCTCTTCGCCCCTAGATATTATTCCGTACAAGATATTCTTTCCACTGTCCATTCTGGATCGATCCCGATCGATTTCATAAAATTAAACATTATTCGCGAATTGTTGTTTAGAAATTTGGAATCGCATTTATTTATTATCTCAGATATCTGTAATAAAAAAAAAAAAAACAACAATTTCAAGATGTTCTTGGTCGAGGAATACGTGAAAGCCAGCATGTTGCAATACCGTGACGCAGCCGACATTATCGAAGAATTCGCACAAGAGATATCCGAGATGAAAGGGAAATGCTTGGACATCGGTTGCGGACCTGGAAAAGTTACCAAAGAACTGATCTTACCAAATTTGTCACCAGAGGCTAAACTAATCGGTAAGAGTAAGTTAAAAAAAAAAAAAAGAACGAAGGAAAAAGTATCATTCGTTATATATGTTTTGTTAGGGATGGATATATCGAAACCGATGATCGAATATGCGAAAAAGACGTATCACGACGACGAACGCTTATCATTCCAACTGCTGGACATCGAGACCATGGACTTGCCCAAAGACACGCTCGACCAATTTAATAACGTGTTGTCCTTTTATTGCCTTCACTGGTGCCACAACTTTCGGTATTCTTACGATTTCATCCTCCTCTATTTCATTTAATTTAATTTGTCTTCATTTAATTTTTTATCGCCCGGTGAAATTTAATAATCGTCCCGCACGATCGAATTTATTAGGAAAGCATTCGACAATATTTATAAATTGCTGCGGCCAGGAGGAAAAGGATTGTTTATGTTACTTTCGTGGAACGACGGTTTCGACGTGTACAAAAAATTGTACGCGGATCCTCGATATAGACCATACATGCAGGTAATAGATAAGGTTTAATGTAAGATGTAATCGATCGTGTTGTCGGTAATAGATCGATTTTCAATTACTCACATTTTTGAATCGCTCTTGTCAAAGGACACGGAACGTTACATACCTGTTTTCCATGAATGTAAAGATCGCCGGATAAATCTAAGAAAAATATTGGAAACCACAGGTTTCGAGATTCTGCATTGCAGCGAAAGAGAAAAGAGCTACGTTTTCAAGAATTCCGAAATCATGAAAAGTAATTCATATATAATATATATATATATTATATAATTAAAAAAAAAAATTCGAACAAACTAAGACATCTAACGACGAGAATATTGAATATTGAAGATTGAAATTATCATTGCAGATCATATAATTGCTATTAATCCCTTCATATCACGGATTCCTAATCCTCTCAAAAAGGAGTTTATGGATGATACAATACGCGAAGTAATAAACATGAAAATCCAATTTTTGAACAAGGACGAGAATGGTGAGCAAGAATACAATATATTGGATAGATATCAGATTTTTGTGACGTATATAAGAAAGCCTGTATGTTGAAAAATTCGTTCAACATACGTGTTTTATTCGTCACGTCTCATAAAAATGGAATAGAATAAATATATTATCATATTGGTTGTCATCAATAAAACATGTAAATTATGCTAATTCCCTTGTAATTCCATTTCTTTTGCGTTTGTTATTGAACGGCACATGAGGAACACTTGAAAGGGAAAAATAAAATAATTGAATAATGAAACAAAAGGAATATCATTTCGTTTCTACAACACTAAACTTTATTTATTGTACGCTATATCTTTGATTTTACAATACGGTACAGCCATTTATAGAATATCGTTAAAACTCATACATACACACACATATATATATATATATATATATATAATAATATATATATATATACATATATATATATATATATATCGTCGTACGGGTATAAGTGGATTTTTTTATTATTTTTGTTTTTTTTTCTTTTTTCTTCTTTTACTGTGTGCTTACGATATCCATAGAGGGAGTAACAATTTTTACTAATGCTTCTTCCTAAAAAATACACCCAAGTTTATAAATCGATTGAAAAACCATCGACATCGACGTGTTTCGGCACACTAACGTTTCCTCGAGTTCCGACGAAAACTTTCATCACTTTGTGCTTCCGCGATTTACCAAAATTCGCGCGTCTATATTTATTTACTCGTTTCTCTCGAGAAGAACGGTACCGAAACTCTAAATGGAAGCGACTCGAGATACTATTACGCGATTTCGCGATTACTCTTCCCTTCATTTTCCCCATAACCCATCCCACAGGATCCACGAAACTGACTGTCACGGATCACGCACAAAGTTTCAACGTGCAGCCTGCCCTACGACGTTGTTGCCTGTATCGCATACACATCTAGAAACATGGACTTATTATTCAAGCGAGAAATAATGTAAATGCGTCGAAATCGAAAAATATCCCGAAATATAGGAAAACAGTCCGAAGGGGGAACGTTAAAGTTCGCGGCGGCGATGGCGCGCGACTCGACAGAATGGTTGAAACGTATATAAAACGTACGTGTGTAAAAAACGGCTCAAAAAATTCTTATCGTTACGGAAGATCTGCGCGAATTTTCACCCCCCCCCCGACGACATGGTCGATCGACGTGGTGAACAACTGGCGAAAACGGAGGACTGAGTTGGAAGGTCAACGAACGAAGTCGCGTCAAGCGAATCTCCCGATGACGATACATATAAATCGCGGGGATGGATACATCGATACATCGTGACGAGAGACGAACACAGAACACGGATAATTGCGCAAAGAAGCGAAGACAACGGAACACGTCCGTGCGAATCAACACCGCACGTTGTACGGTCGCGTTCCATGGATCAATACCTACGCACGGATATTTCGCGGTACATGTACAGCCAGCCAGATCGATCAGAGATCGTAGCCATGAAGTCGTGAATCGATGATCGCCACGTCTGATTTGCAACGATCCGATTCGAACAGTCAGATTCAAAGCTGTTCTCGATTTTTTCGCGTGCCAATCCCGTAAAAAATTCCAGTTAAATGGATACCTTTACGAGTACTATTACACGTACCATTAAAGGAATCAAGTAAGATAACGCGTGATACTTGTTACGAGCATGGCAGAATTCGAGCCTGATCGTTCAGATGCGATAGCAGCCATAAGAGAATATCGTGGAACGTCGGATACGAAAATGTATATATGGCGAAGAATGGCAAGGCACGAGTAAATCAGAGTCGAAACTCAGAATCGATACGGCTTAATGGATTTTATATTTTGTATACGGCTTAATGGATTGAACACCGAATACTTTCAATAATCAAGAAATACATTGAGCTTCGAGGTGAAGAGATTCCGAGTCTAGATAGAAAACTGATCCGTCTGGCCAAGTTACACACATCCGATCCAATCCCACGTTCATCTGAGAATTTTTTTTAAAAGCGAAATAACCTAATCGCAATTGCTTCGTGTTTATGCGTTTGTTGTTACCGCGAAAAATCGAGTTTTCGAGTAGAAAATTAAATTGCCGCGTTAAATCAATTGACGCACGGCGACTGTATAAAGTAGCTTAAAATATGTATCGGGATAAAATCTTGAGAACGTTACAACGAATAATCCTCCCCTGGCCGGTCTAATGTGGAAACGACTCGTAAATTACGGTTAATAGGTACGCACGGCCAATTAACAATAACCGAGGAAAAGGCGAGGAAGTAACTCGTGGACGACCAAATGGGCGAAACCCTTCATTTTCTCGCTATGTTGCGTGACGCTCGACGAAAGGAATCGACCGTGCCGCGGCATGGAGAGCAACCTCGAGGGAAAACAAACTGCGCGCGACACACAAGCTGTCGTTCTAATTTGCGGAAGAAAAACGCGGTTATGCCTCCACACCGCAAACGGATCGAGCGTTATTAATCGTCCGTAAATATTCCGCGGCGATCGATACCGCTGCTTCTTACGCGATACGAAGGGAACAATAAATTTAGCTCGAATAGCTTTCCAAAGGATAACCGGTAAATGAGAGTAAAATATCGGTCAACTCAACTGTTTCAAACATACAAAGCTGATCGTTACGATGCCGTGATGATCGCGTTGCTCCGTGTCCTCGCATCCAACTACGCTCTAAATCGTTTTAAAATGGAAGGCAAGAATAATCCTGACGAGATGTAGTAATGTTTGGCAAGATTAATCATCTATACGTATGACAATAGAAATACTTTGCTCGATAATCACGAAAGAGACCGTGTGGACGATAATAAAATAACCATTGAGAAGTTTGTAAGAAGGACGAATCAGTTTGATAGAATGAAAAATCACATTGAACATCGAAGAGCATTCGAAGCATCGAAGAATTGACAAATTTGACGATTTAAAAAGAACGGCTTGTTTTCAAAGATTGATATTTGAACGCGGTCAAAAAGCGTCCCGTTCCTCGCTTACTCGTTTCTTTGCTTGTCATTTCACGCCTCGCTTTACGCTTCTCTAGAATAAACTATTCACCACGGGAAAACATCGGACCGATAGAAGAATCGAGTCAGGTACGAAGAATCGTTGTTTTACAAGAGATCTTTGTTGTGCGGAAGCCGAATAATTGTACGGTATCGTAGAAAAAGATTGGGCGTGATAGAAATTTTGTTTATTCGCGCGAGACACGTGGACAGTATCAGCGGGGGGAAAAAAAATTGATTATCTTTCGACAGGAAATTGATTTCGAAAGGAACGTGAGTGACGCCAAATCTTCACGATCCTTGATAGGCCGTTTCAATATTATCTACAATTTACATTTGCAACGTGTACCTACGTACGATCCGTATTCGTTGTCGCGTCCCTTTTAATCGAAACCTTGATAGAGTATTACTCGATCAATCGTGGTCGTTATACGATGTCCGATACGATTCAGTAACGATTTCGCGATTTCTTTTTAACTTCTTTTTAATTCTTTTTAGGTTACGCGACAACGTTATCGCACACGAGTAACACAAAATTAGTCTCGCATTAAATCTATGAACAACGACTACTAGTACTGCCACCTTTTCGCTATTCTACTTATTAATAACATCAACAGCAACAACACATAATATATCAACATTAATATAATATTTGTCCTCGTAGCCTAGTTCTTTCTTATAATTATATATTACGTGTGTAATACACATAATGTTCGAACGCGCGTACGCATAGCAAACATATATTCAGATGATTTTTCGAAGACATGAACACGTGTACGCATTATGCATATTACAGGAATATAGGAAGAGGACGAAAAGACGTTCGTCCCAAGCGAATTACGCGACATCTGTATGGTATGGAGCGCGGAGAAAAAAAAATATATATATTCGAAGGAAATGCATCGCGCGAGTCGAACCTGACTCGATATTGTATCTCGGAGAATTTTTGCACATCAACTCACGCCTTAAGAAAATATCAACGGTAAGCGCGAGACCAGAATGTTTGCGGCGAAATTGTAAGTACGAATAATCGAAATGATTCCGCATAACTCGCTTATAATCGAGGAACAGATTCTTTGTGATTCGATTATACGTAAAACGTTTCGCTATCGACTATACAAGCGTTTAAAGAAATTCACGTCCACGCATCGCCACGATATCTTTGCATCTTTTTTATTGATAATCTATCGAATATTGTGCTTTCCATTGAATCGCGAGAGAATTCTCCAAGTCTACCTTCGCACCTCCTCTTTCCCCGCCTTGTTGAACTCGTTTGGTATCGCAAGAATCAGCGATGCGAAAGACGTGCATCGTTGCGACTAAACGATCGGAAAAACATCGACACATGTATAATGTATATATACGAACATTACATATATGTGTGTGTATATATATATATATATATATTAATATATATAAACTTCCGATAATCTTGTACGACTTAGCATAATGTACTATTGATTTCTTTCGTGTCGGAACACTATAGGTAGTCCAATGGCTACCGTTACTTAATTAAATTATATTCGCTTACACTTACATTATCTCATCTTTTAATAGATTATCACTGTTTCTCTCCCGAGTTAAATGTTCTCATCAATCGAGTCCACCGCAACATACAATCTTTCTTTCCTTTTTCCTCTTAGATGAGGAAGATGGTAACTTGTCGAGAAATGCAATCACGATAAATCAGCATAAACTTAAGGAAATGGTAACTTGTCGTGTACGATTGTTTTCATCCGGATGAACGTCTAGAGCTAACGTTTAAATGGACATGCTTAACTATTTAATACTAAACTGATCCCTTTCAGCCAGATATGCAACATACAGTTTAAATATTCATCCTACGATAACAAAAATGCAATATTTTGTATATTATGAATTAAATATCCGGTTACTATGAAATTCGAGAGATTTGAGATGCATTCTCTCCACATTTATATAGAACAATCTTGCAATTTTCGCTATCGTTGGTATATCTTCGTAATCGCACGCATATTCTCTTTCAATCGACTAATTAAAATCACTCGCATACCTATTACCAGAAAATTCTATATCTTGAGAAAACAATATATACTCAATCCATGCATCGTTGGTTGTATCGACTTATCCAAATCGCAAGTACAATAAAAAAAGTTTCACAAAAATTGTGCCAAATTATCGAAACCTTGGAAATAACTGTGTATATTACATAACTGTGCAACACGTTTAACCTAATTTCTCAAAATCGGTTTGAAATAAAATAAATCTAAATGCCAACAAATTATGCGAACGTTCATCATTCTCAATAATATTCTCATAAAACACACAGAAAATCGTACATCGTTATATAAAAGACGCCTTGTTAAATAAATAAAGCGCGATAAAAATGGTAATAAAAATGATCAACAATAAACAATAGTTTATCAACGATTTAGGATCGAGTTCAGTCTCCAAATCGAAGGGATTGATCCGCTCGTAACCCCTCGGCACAACATAAATGACGATAGTATTATAATCGCAAAGGTACTCCTTTTTTTTTTTATTCGCATTGACCACGATTACGCTTTGCTTACGTACATACATGTATATATGTATATAATATACGTATGTTTGTGTGCATATGTGTATATATGCACATGTTGCATATCGTAATATGATATATCGGTGATGAGCACGAATCATCAATAAAATACGTTTTGTAAAAGCTCGCGATTCTCGATACTTCCGGCGTATCTCAACGATTGTTTACGAAATAAATTAATTGGATGAATCACACGAGAAAGATTTACAATGCGCAAATGTATGATTTTTAAACCTAAATTTGTAATAACTATTAAGAATATATATATGTATATATATACATATATATATATACACACATATATATCTTAATATATATACATATAATATGTATGTGTAATATCGAGTTACTTAAAATATCATACAATTAGAAACAACAAGGACAATGTTACGATGTAACATTTTTGATTGTCTTCCTAAAAGAGGCTCGCTCCAATCGTTTCGCCCCGGCCTCAAAATAGCCGCAGCATGAAATCGCGCGGTACAAAAACGCTAGAAACGTTCGTAATATTTAATTTCCGTTTTTTTCTTAGTTTTTTTTTTTTTTTTTTGGTTTTTCTATATACTCTTTCTTTATACAATGCGGTCACTTTATCATTTCACGATACGGACTATTCAAAAAATGTCTTTATACGGAGTACTTTCAGTCAAAAATATATCAAATCACGCATACGCCTATTCGAATCGAATAAACTTTCCGCATTCCTTATTCTAGGCCAAAAAAAATTTTATCCTCGCTAACGAATACTTCCTTCGTCGTCACATTTCGAGTCCAGCAAAGTTCGACCGATATAGCAATCATATTTTTTCATATTATAAACAACCCGAGTATCCTGAAACGCGATTTAGCATCGACTTGTTAATTAAATAACATCTTATACATATAATAACAAGATTAAATAGTAGCACTTAGAAACATTATTCTTATTTAGAATCGTGTACCTCGCCTACATATTCTTTATTCTCAATTTCCAAAATTTCATTGACTTTTAAAACGGAACTTTTTAGAATCTCGACATTGGCGGCGATGGTCTCGAATGTAATGAGAAGAGTAGTGCGTTTAATACTGTGCGTAAGTAACATCAAATCGAAATAGGAAAAAAGAGGAAAACTCACTTTCTATCTTTTCAAACGCATAGTTTCAATGTTACTTTCCATGTTGAGATCAAAATCGTGTTCTCGCATACGAAGAGAATCAATCGATTAAACATATATATTTGACCAAAATATGTTACTAATCTTTCAAGAAATAAGAACTTTGAATAAATAGAAAATATCATAATTCATACGATAAAATTCACATATTCGAACGCACTTATCTGTAATAATTAGTTAAAATGTTGTTTGTCAGATCATTTAAGTCTTTTTAAAAGAGATTCGATACACACAAAACATTTATCAAATGCTTTGTATATATAATAATTATATTTGATGACATTCTATTTCTCGAAATCATTTCATAAATGCTGCATCACATCTTGCAAAAAAGATATTTTTGATAGTGAATAAAATTATTTTAGTTATTAAAACACAGGTAACTGCGTAGATTTTACAAATTACTTATCATTATTACACCGCCACTGCGACTCCCTTCTGTTGTGGAGAAGCAACACATTACTATCAACTTTCCAAATGGATACACATTTTCAGCAGAAATAGTTTACTGCCTTGGATTTGTTTTACTCCAAATCATATTACCATGAGATATCGATATTAAATTATAAACTATATCAGTCAATATGTATTTCCACTAAGTGATTCCGGCATACCAGTTCCGCTGGATGGCGACAAAGATAACTCTCCACTCTCATATTTACTACATCGACTACTATACTCTGCCATTAGAGTAGCTTTAACCTGAAATATAAAAAAAAAATTCCATCGCATATTATATTGAAAAATTATTATATTATACAAACAAATTGACAATTTTAAAATATATATAAGATTCGTACCTTTGCTCTTTCTGCTTCTAACCTTTGTCGAACTTCTTCATGCTGTCGTTCGAGTTCTGCTCTTTTTTTCTCGTAAATTTTTGTTAATCGTGTACATTCATTTACGCCTTTTTCAACCGTTGATTTTGCAACCTCCCTCTTCATACGATCTAATTCAGCTTTATCTTTATGTACTTTTGCTAGTTGTTTCACCTATAATTAATAATATAAGTATATAATATAATATAAGTAATATAATAATAATATATAATATATATATATATATAATAATAATAATAATATAATAATAATAAGTAATATAATAATATAAGTAAATAAATAATAAATAAATATTTTTTATTATATTATTTTTTCATAATTACTCATACTCACTTAAAAATATATTCTAAAATAGGAATAATATAAGAAACATACTTCTCCGTGTCTTGTAGCTTGAAGTTTTCTCATAACATCGGCAGTTTCTCGCTCTAAAAGTACTCTCAATGTTTTTAATTGATTGGATTGAGAAGTTTTCATTACTTTCTCTAAAGTTGTAAATAAATTTTCATAGTACTTTTCCTGAAGTTCTCGTTCTTGTTGTACATGAGCTTTACATACGGCTAACAAACGTTCGCTCTGACTTCTAGGTAGTCCTTTTGGAGTTCCACCATTTCCTTCACGGTTTTCAATATCTGTGCATTCTGACGTTTCTGCTAAAGCTAACGTACTCAATCCTACTTCACTTGAAAATCTATAAAGAATATATAAAGAATATAAAGAATATAAGAATATAAGAACATATAATCATATACATATTTATGTTACGTATATTTGTGAAAATCAATAACTCACATATTTCTACTTGACAACCGTTTCACTAATTTATGGCTCACATAGAATTTCGATTTATGCTTTTCACCATCGATTGATCCTTTTTGCGTTTGCATCCTTAATTTTTCTTTTTCATGCTTTTTTCGCAATGATTCAAGCTTCTTTTCAAGCTCTATTTTTTTTTCTCGAACAAGTTTATTTTCCATTAATTTCTCTAAAGATTCGGCCACTATTTCATCGCTCACTATAACATAAAGAAGCTAATTATACAATTCAAATAATAAATATCGATACATAATAAATAATCAATACATACCATTGATATTGACTGAACTTTTATTTGTGGAAGCATCAACGACTTGAACTGTAGATGTAGGAGTTCCATCCTCATTATCTTGTGTATCAGACATATTTATCCCAGCTATAGATGGTCTACCATGAATATTTGTAGATGGTGGAACAAGTGGTGGTAATTCGCCCACAGATTGTAATCTTTTCGTTTTCACTGTTTCCTCCTAGAACAATATATTTAAAAATACATATAAATATATTTATTTATTTATATTGATCGAAATTTTTTAACCGATTAAACTTACTGTTGGTTTAGAAGAACTTGGTCCTTCACCAACTTTAGGTTTATCCTAGAAGATGTTAGTATGCATTTGTTAGTAAATTAATGGGTTAGTAATAAATAAATTTCTAACGTTTCAAATCTTACATTAATTTCCTCTGATGGATCTTCTGAACCGTCTGTAAGAACTGACAACTGTTTTTCTCTTTTTTCTGTTTCACTTTGATATTTAATCGGATTTGCTAAAGCTTCAGCAAGTTCGCTCAATCCATCTGGGACATAATCTTTCACAATTACATGTAAAAATAAATTTGCTAATGGTAATGGTTGTCCACATTCTGTTTTAAGAGCAACATGTCGATAACCTGGACATAATCCAACTACGGGTAGCACTCTATGACCAATTAAACGTCCTGATTCTTCATATGCAGCAATTCTAATTGAAGCAAGTTCAGGTAAAACTACCTAATAAATACATAAAATTTTATTACATATAGATAGATAATAATTACATAATAATTACATGATATATGCTATCAACTGTATAAAAATATGAATTCTCACTTTTTTAAATATGAAAGGTTCTTCATCGTATACAGGATTGATTCCATTGTTCGGAACAATTTTTGTGCGAAATTTTTTTCTCACTGTATCTGCTGGTAAACCATACATATCTACTTCTATATAAGTACCCACTCTTTTGTCTGTTAAAAATTGAGCCGATATTACGTGTATATGAACCGTTCCCGCTATAATACCATCTACTGTCGATTCCGCGAAAGGATCTAATCGTTGATCCTTTCGTCTCATGAATTCTGGTTTCAAGAGATAACCACAACGTTGATTATATTCAAAAATTCCCAAGTTTAGTTGCATCGCAAGATCTAATGCAAAAAAAATTCGAATATTAAATAAATTTCAGAATCAATATGAAACAAATTCAAAATACATACCAAGAGTTTGATAATTTAATGCAACCAGTTGACAACCTGCATTCCAAAAGACTTGAGGCATGAAATTACTAGAATCAAAACGTGTACCTGCTGGATATACTCTTGATAATTGATGTTTGTTATAATTTACAAATTCTAATGGTCTTTCTTTTAAAAGTGTTGTAGCTTGTTTTTCATCAAATGATGACATTTCATACATTCGATTTTTTTCTGTAAAGATCAAATAATTTTTAAATCATAAACAAAAAATAAAAAATAAATTTAATAATTAGTATTGATATATTAATGCATACTTTCAGCTGATTCAAAACTGTTAAAATGAACGGGTTGCACATAATTAACTAAAGCTGAAATTTCTGCTCCAGCTTCTGTTTCTTTGGCGTTAGGTGCTACTTTATCAGGTGCAGGCACTTTATCAACCATTCTTAATTTAATATCTTCCACATTCGATTCATCCTCTTCTGTAGTCGATTCTTCTTCTTCATCTAAAAATAATAAATTTTTCTCTAAATATATTTTTAATACACAATTATAATTTTTTGTTAAGTGCTAACCTTCATCATCCTGAGTACTATCCTTGCTGCTTTGTCTTTGCTGTAACATCGGAGGATGTGAAATATCTCCATTTCCAATTTGTTGATCATTATTATCAATTGCTTCAGCATGAGAAACAATATCTGGCGGCGGTCCATTTTCTCCCTCCGCGACTTGATTTGTTATTCCATTATCTTCATTTTCTTGCGCTTCCTCTTCAAATTCTGTTACTGGTGTCTGTTGCTTTTTTTTATGTTTTTTATGATGATGATGGTGTTTCTTTTTATTCTTAATTATAATCTTGCGTTTTAATAAAGATGGAGGTGGTAATTCTTGTCCTGGTTCCAACTAAGTAAAATACATTAAAGAAATGAGATTAAAAATAAAATGTGATTATAAATATAAAGAGATCAAAAATACCTTATGAGATTCAAGAGGAGCATCCAGCAACATTTCTCCAAATAATTCTCTACAATATTGAGCTATCTTAGCTTGTTGTCTTGGATTGCAATGATTTTCAAAACTAAGAATGACAGGATATTCTGATGTTTTAAAAGCACTTTCAGCAATCGCTTCAATCACATCCCGTGCATATATTTCAGGTACAAATGTATATCTAGAAAATATTTCTAAATAAGCATGCAATACGTAATTTTTAGTATAATTAGTTTTTTTATTATAAAATAAAAATACCCATGAACAATAACAGGTTCTTCAAATTTTCCATTCCAAAAGTCCAATTCTACACATCGGCAACCAGCAAGCAGACATTGACGATATATTTCGACGGAACTTTTTCCAGTAAGTTGATGTCCTAAATATATATTTATAAAAATTATTTATAAAAATAAATTGTATAATCAATTAAAAGTAAAAAAATCACAAAAGTGATATACCTGTTAAGTATGTATTGTGACTAGAATTTATAAAGTAATGCGCAAGCGGTTGGTCCATGTCATCTGATAATTCAAGTTTCGATAAAGCCACGATTGGGTTATCCTCACTCATCAAATATCTCAAAAATCCATCGAAACTTAGCTGACCCCGATTTGCATTACATTTATTTGGTTCGTATTGACTTATAATATCCTTCGCTCTCGCCTCATTTGCATAAGGATACAATATTTCGTTTAAACGTGGATCTCTTTGAGTTTTATTAAAAAATCAACAAATTGAGTTACAGACATTAGCCTACGCTTATTATTGCCTACGATGCGTTCGAAAACTTTTTCAACATCCGATCGTTGAGTAAGAGATTTATAAAAGTTGAAAAAATCTTCAAATTGAAATTTTTGTAACGATATTACGTCGTTCTAAAATAAAAAAAAAATGTAATTCTATAATAACAAAAGCGTTATGTTTACAAACGCACAAATGTTACAACTCACTTTTCCAGATGGAAAACCAGAAATATCGAGTGCTTTTTCGACTCGTTTACGATCTTCTTTGTTTTGCGTAAACATTCTTATAATACTAAAATATAATAATATACAAATTTATTTATATATTCATATTTAATTTACATATATTCATATATAGATGCAATTAATTTATCCAAATTTACTTACTTCTTAACAGGTATTTTTCCTGATTTATCAGCTGCAAGTGTAAGTTTGGTATGTGCTTTCTGCAAAAACATAGTTGTACTGATATTTAATAGGGATAGATTATATGCAAGCTGAAAAATTTCTTCTGTCCAATGTTTTGCAACTTCTGCACGTGTTGTACAGAAGTTAATAAAATTCATATTGACAAAATCAGATCCATAACAAATTGTTACTGTTTTCTCTTCTAAAGAATCTTGAGAACCCATTGTCACAAGATATCTCAATTTGGGATCCTGAAAAAGCATTTCCTATTTTAAAAAAGATGAAAAAAATGTGATTTTAATATAGAAATATCAGTAATATTTATTCATATGAAATTAACTTATTCATATAATAGAAGTAACTATAACTTATATTATAATAAGCTACTAATATAGATTGGAACTACAAACAATGTTACTTTACAAAATGATTATTGATTTATAGGAAAATGAAACAGATAAGAACTGCTCTGCTTTCTATACAACTAAGAATATTTCCATTGTGTACAAAGATAGGTGTGACTGAAAAAAATGAACTACATTGAGGATATAAAGTAGGTAATATTCTATTTATAGATTTGTCAATAATTATCATGTGGTGGTGCTGTGCGTCATTAGCAACCACGCAAAAGAATGATATAATTATAAGAAAGAATATCTTCATTTCCAAATATTTATATCTTATAATACACATTAATATAACTAATAGAACGTTTACCTAAATTTATTCTTTTCTATGATATAAACAATAATAAACTAACTCATCTAAATTATATAATGAAAAATTCAAATACATTAATTATATTATTGAAAAAAAAAAAACAATATAATACCTTTGGTACTTTAGCATATTTTCCAGTTCTAGTATCTCTTATTACAGCAATATCCAACATTTCCATTTCATTATGTTGATCCACCCAATGCAGATAAAATCCAAACTTATCGACTCTCAATGTTACTGGAGTTGCTATACCAGAATCCTACATAGAAATATGAATAAAACTAATCATCATGCACATACAACAATATAGCTTATTACTTAAAACTTAATAATACCATCTAAAATATTCCTGCTATAATAATAATTTGGCATATAATTCATACCTCGTCCCATTTGATGAATTTTTCTCCTTCTTGTAATTGTTGAGACACCTCAATAGGTCTAAATTGCACGACACTACCTGCTGTCTTATTACCCGCCATCCTGACTGAAGGATACTGCGAGTAGTTTGATATAGAAATAATATTATTCCTAGCACGAATGCACTAATAAAGAAGCAAGCAATGCAGGCTGATTGTACCAATGACAACAATAACAAGCACAAAGACGTTGATAGCCACAGTAACAATGACGATGATGTCAATGGCTATAACGAAAACGACGTCGATGATAACGGTAATAAAGGACAAAACGATGAGGGTAATAACGATGTTGACGACAGCAATGGCACCAGCAATAATAACGACGACGACGACGACGACGACGACGACGACGACGACAGTAACGATGACGATGACGATGACGACGGCGACGACGACGGTGGCAGCGACGACGACGGTGGCAGCGGTGACGATGATGACGGTGACGGTGACGGCGATATAAGATTCATCGAGAATTTCTTATGCATTAGACGCACCTCATGAACCACCTTACCTTGACAGGTATTGTTGTTTGATCATCCGTAATGAAAGATGCAACCGTATTTCGACGACGATGTCGTCGTCGTCGCCGTCGTCGCAGAATTCTGACAGGTATCGTCTTATAAATACCGATAATAGATACGTAAAGTTTTTGGTGAACACGTCAGTCCCGGTTAATTAAACGTTTTGAAGAAAAAACAAATCATTGGATTGCCAAATCACTGTCTGGTATTGCGATGAAAATTAAAAGAACAGTTTAACACATATGTCCCACGGTAAAAAGAGCTTGCAATTGATATGCACCGCAAAAGTTTTCGTACTTCTGAGCACTCGCGCACTCACTTGGTCCAGAAGAACATTCTTCCGCGCGCCGTACCGAAGATATTCCGAGCAAATCCGAGCACCGCCACCCGTCACCCGTCATCCGTCACCCGTTACCCTCGTCGCCAGGAGGCGCTCAAACTGTTTCACAAATTATAAAAGGCCGTATTACACGTGCGCTTACCGCGCTTAAATTGATTTTAAAGCGAACTATGATATTCAGTAATACCACTACTGTTTTTATACTTTTCTTAACGCTATTTTGATCCTATAATTATCTATAAATACTTTTTTAATTGATTATTATATATTATAACTAACCTTTTTTTAAATATTATCAATTTTGTTTGAAAATAATCAATTTACTTAAAATCAATGATTTTTAATCAATTTTGACATTAATCATAGTTTTATTTTAAAATAAATATATTCTTTACATACAAAAAAAGTAATCAAGTGCTTAAATTCATAAAATCAATTTAATTTTATACTGCAACTAGTAAAATCGATTCAATTTAATCTAACGATAGATAAACGATAGATCATTAAATATTTTATTATATTTTAATGATATTTAAATATCCTATTTAAATTATTAATTAAAAGAAACAAATTTCGAATTTTTTTATCTTTTTTTGTATTATTCAATATGTATTATAATATTATAATATTAAACAATTAAAATTTATAAAATTTATAAAATTGAATGTTTTTTACATTTATATTTAAAATATAAATATAATTATTATTGATTGAATTATTAACACATTTAATTAAATATACCAAAAAAATTATTTTTTATTTAGAAAATATTGTGAATTTCACAATATAATTTTTAATCAGATATATGCATTGCATTACTTTCCTCAAAATAATGTTAATTAATAATATACCGATATCCTGTTGCAATCATAAAAGATTAAATTGATGTTAAAATGTCTTCAATCTTATGGAAGTCTTATATTTTAAAAATCTTAATTATTAATGATGCAGTACAAGTTAAGATTAAATATAATAATGAAATACAGAATATTTTTATATATGTTAACAAAAATCATTTGGTGTTTACAACATAAAAATAAATAAGTAATCGAATATGATTGTAATAAAAGATGTATAAATGTTTAAATTTTATCACTATCAATTTACATGTAATAATCCATCTTCATTTCTATTGATAGGATCTCCTTTTAACAATGCAATGATCATACTGAAAAATATATAATAAACATTTTTTTTTGTTTGTTAAACTGAATGATTAAATAATAATTTAACATATATATACATGTATACATACCAATAAAGATAAATAAAAAAGAAAATTAGATAATATCCAAGATAAATCATACAATCTCTTGTATGCCTTTTTAATTGTCCACGGTTATGAATTTCTGTGGGATCATAAACTCCCATATTACCACTGGGCACTCCAGAGTATTCATAGATTAACCATAATGTCATAGGTAAATTCACCAAAAACAATATTAATTGTCCATGTGTTAATAATAAACATTCTAAGAATAAATGTGCTATAAGCTTTGGTACTACCCACTGTAAAATATTACATTTAGAATTTAAAATTATTTATATTGTTCTTTTATTGATTAATATTTATGACAAGTTTACAATTACCGTGTTTAATTTTGAACAACACTGTTGAGCATTCAAATAATCACATTCTAAATCTGATAAGGTTATAACCTATATTACATATATATTAATTCTATGATAAGGAATCTAATTACATGTCTTCTTGTTAATAAAGTAGAAAAATTATTTTAAAAATATTTGAATATAGCGCCATTTTATTAACTATAATGCTATAAAAACATGTGATAAAAAGTCCCTAAATACATATTTTCAACAAATCCTATATAGAATTCAAGAATAAAATTCTACAATTATATATAAATAACAAAATACAAATATAGTAATTCTTTTTTTAAATTTTTGAAATGTAAAAAGGATACAAAATACACTAAAAGAAAAAGTACTGAACCGGTATCGATTAAAGCTAATACGAACAACAACGGCTCAGATATTAAACCCATTCTAATGATCTTGATTAGTGTAAATAATCTTTAGATAACATTAGGATCGAAATCTGATGATTCATGTATGCTTTTCTTTGAAATATAGAATCACTTGAAATACTTTCCACGTGCAAAGTTCAATAAACATAAGATAAAACTGAATTGTCAAAATCGACAAAACGAATAACTTACGATACTACCAACTACTGAGAATACTTTTCTAATATTGCCTTCTTTAAACTAATACCGCCTAGTCATAGATAATAATGTAACGGAATTCTCTATATTATAAATATTCATACTCGTATTTTATACCGAAGATAAAATGTAATATAGATCTAAAACTTTCATGTTACTAAAATGATTTGCTAATTTAAAAAAAAAAATCATTGTAGTGACCTCTATAATGTTTAAACATTAATTTAGAAATTCAATATAATCAATGAAGACAATAAAATAGGAAAAATATAAAAATTAATACTTTTACATTTTTAATTACATATTTCTAAATACAATCTCTATTGTATTTAGAATTTGTATTATATCTAGATCTTGATTGTACAAATATAATGAAAAACATAATAGAAAAGAAGATATTAAATCTATATTATATCTTATCTATGTCTATGTCGAGTCGATATTAAAAAAATACATAAAATGTAAACAATATTTAAAAACGAATAAAAAAAAGAATTATTTATTTAATATTATTATTAAATTATACATTTTCTAATTATATAAATTATTTATATAAATCTTTTTAAAATAGAATAAAATAAGAGGTATACATATTAATTTCTATGAACAAATTATTCGCATGTATTTGTTATTTATAAAAATAACATATAAAATTATAATTACAGAAATGTTTCGAGACACTCCGAAAATTATTATAGAAGATGCATCTTCTCCATCTGCTTCGTATGTTATATATATTAAAATGGAAGATTTATTAGAAAAATTAAAATTGTTACATTATGATAATGAATTTTTATCAGAATTTAAAATAAAAGCTATAAATAGGTAATATAATTATTATAATTGTATAAAAGCATTTTAGTTTTATCTTATATAAATTATTAAAAAAAAAAATATTGGTTCAAAATATAGGAATTATTTTGTAACACAAACAAATCCAGGAGAACAATTTTATACATTTACATCTTTAGCTGCATGGCTAATTAGGAAAGCAGGTGGAAATTTTGAAGCTCCACAAGAATCGGATGACCCTAATGCTATTATAGGTTTAATATTGGATCATTTAAGAGATACTGATGTATCAATAGAATTTCCACCTAATAAACTTAAACAAGGAAGTGGTGAACATGCAATTTATGTTTTAGATAATTTAGCAAATGAAGCATTAAAAGCACAAAAATTTCAATGGAAAAAGTAATCTTTTTAAATTTAAAAAAGAAAAAAGAAATGTAATAAAAGATATTGTAAGCATAATTAAATATTGTAAAAAATAAATATTTTTAGATTAGAAATATCACCTGATGAACCAACTAATGAACCAGATATAGAAGATGATGATGCAGAATTAATTTTAGAAAAAGTAGAGGAGGAAATGATGGCTGAATATGATGATGAGGATGAGGATATCTTACATGTTGATGATATTACAAAACTTTATGGACAAAACTTTGTAAGTATGATAATTGATATATTTGTATCATATTAACTACATTTTAACTTTTTATAATATTATTTATTTAACTTATATACTATTTTGTAGAATGAAAATCAGAAACCTGATGATATTTTAGAATCTAAGACAAACAGAGAAGAATGGCAATTAGAATTGGAAAGAGTATTACCTCAACTCAAAGTAACTGTAAAAACAGGTACATAATGTTTAATAAAAATTGAAAGAACAGAATTAAAAAGATAAATTTATTTCAGATTCGAGAGATTGGAGATCACATATAGATCAAATGAAACAATTACGTATGAATATAGCAACAAATTTAACTGGAGTAAAAAATCAATTAGATAAACTACATATTGATATATCCAATACATTGGATAAAATAAAAACAAGAGAATCCTACTTAAATAGACAACTTGAGCCTATTTTAAAAGAATATCAAATATTTCAAGATGAATTATCAAAAATCAAAGAACAATATAGAGATGTTAGTGGAGGTGTAACTGAAAGGACTAGAATTTTTAATAAATTATCAGAAGAATTGGAACAAGTAAAGAAAGAAATGGATGAACGAGGATCAAGTATGACAGATGGAAGTAAGTATTTTTTAATCTCTGGTATGAGTTGATCACTGCAGATTTTAAAATAGAAAATAAATTATCTTTTAAAAAAGATAAATTAGATAAAAGATTTATGTTGCGAGCAATATTTAAAATCGATTCAAATAATACTTATTGATTATAATCAATACTTGTACCAAAACTAATTTTATAATACTATATAATATAATATATAATAAATGCATTAATTATAAATATTTTTTATAGCTCCATTGATAAATATAAAAAAAACGATTACTAAAATGAAAAATGAAATTTCTGAAATGAATGTTCGAATTGGTGTTTTAGAATATAGTTTAATGTGTGCAAGAATCCGAGATCGCACGCAATTGCAAGAAGATATAAATAATCCAAATAGCATCGCGATAAGTTGAATGAATATCATAATAATTTAAGTAATTTTTATTATCATTACATTGATTGGCATTGTTGTGAATGATATTTTTGACAAAATTTATCAGTATTATTTTCTTTTATTATATTTAAAATAGATTGTATAAGATATCCCAAAAATGTTGGAACATCCGTAAACTAAAGATTCTTGAGATAATTTTAAGTAATATTTTCCTTTGCTTAAAATAATCAGTTAAATAACTACAATTTTCGTTATGACTTTGTTAACGAGCTATTAACAAAAACATTGGCCAATCATGGAGTGCATAGCGACAGTAACGTTAATGCTGCCGATCGAGCACGAACAAGTCCAAATAACATCTCGAAGAAAGTGTATTGAATATAATAAATATTTTTTTATCGATTAAAAATTATATCGAATTATATCACGAATAAAAAAATAAATATAATATTCAATATATTTTCTTCGATATGTTGTTGATTCGATTAGTGGTATGTAGTTACTCATGGCTCGATTAAGCTACGCACTTTATGATTGGTCAATGTTTTTTGTTAACTCTTAACAAAACCGGGAAAGTTTTTACAAAGAAAAATGCTTAAAATTATTTCAAGAATCTCCAATGTATAGATATTCTAACATTTTTGGGACATCTTGTATATAGTTTGTGATATACATAGTTTACTGGTAATAGTTATCGTTAAAAAGGGTCCAATGAAGCATTTGTTTCATATTATATTTGTAAAATTTTTATGCATTGTGTATTTAACTTGTAAAAACTGATTATTCAAATATATGATATTTTTTTATAATTATTTTAAATAAAATTGTACAATAATTAAAAATGTGTTTGTGTAGAACTTATTTATCATTTTTTTCGAATAATTTATAAATAAAGGTAATATAATTGAAAATAAAACATTATGTAACAAATATCAAAAATATAATTAGTTATTTACCGATAAGAAATAAATACATAAAAAGATAAATAGATAGATTAATAAATTTAATTTAAATTCAAAGATAGGAAACGTATTGTGAAATGAGTTGCATTCCCTCCTCTTTCAACAATTTATCAAATGTTCAAGTTGCAAAGTTGATTATAGTTTTATACAGATCAGTCATTGTGCGGCTTTCGTTAGTATTGAATGTGACATTCCATATGCAGTATTTTAACTAATGATATCATTTTACAGCGCTAATAATTTTAAACAATTTTTGATCATTATAATAAACTCTTTTTTCATAAACAGGTTTGTAATTAAATTTATAATTTTTTATGTGCATTAATTTCAATCATTTATCAAATTTTAAAAATTATATTTGTAATTCTTTATGTTAACGCTTTAATTTGTTTTTTTTTATTATAATTATCTATATCATATATCCTCATTATTTTTAATTATAACTCATTGTAAATAAAAATTGATGAAATTAAAATTAAAATTATATGTTTATATTAAATGTAATTTAATAATAAATTTATTAAATTTATTAAACTGTATAATTGATGATATGCATCAAAGTAAAATATTGAGAGTCAATGACTTCTCTCCCCGGCAGGATGCACTTTCTTTCCAGTTTTAAAAATATTTTTCTATGTTTATATATGTCAATTTTTCTTCAACTTTCACTAATGTTTTACGCGCATTTTGAAACAGATTCTCTTCATTATTCATTCCGGTAAGATATTACTAATATATTTATATTTAAATTATTTAAAATAATCAATTAAATAACTTTATTCATTATTGAAATGTACAAAATTCACTATTAATTTTTCACTCATTCTCAAATATTTTATAATATGAATATAAAATTGAATTATAATAATGTATTATTATGAACATATGACAGATTTAATCATCATGATCCTTCCTTATCAATTACGATTAAATATATATATATATATATATATATATATATA